CTGTCTCATGCCTTCCATCAGGGGAGTGTGCTCCCTTGCAGCCTGATCGTTATGGGGCATCATCGGGGTGCGGTCCCGGACCGCGTGCCACTGCGCTCCTCCGAAGAGCCTGGCTCCCCCTGTGCCTCCCATATCCGGAGAGTGAATGTTCCTGACGATCCTAGTATGGACCGATAGGCGAGAATCTTCGTTCTCACCAGTACGCTCGCCGAGCGTCTGCATCGAACGGAGAGGGGAGAATGGTGTTTGCTATGTGTTAGCGGAGTACACACGTTCTGCCTCATGTGCGTCCGCCAGAGACCTAGATGAGCTGACCATCCACAATCTCTACGATTGTCTAGGTGAATTCTCAGAGGATATTCGTGAAAAAGTCAATTCTTCAAAGGGAAAGAACATTGTTGACACACTTGCCCTCCTTACATCTGAGAAAACGAAGAAAGAAAAAGCTCCAAAAATTACCTTTGAAGATGACTCATCCGATGAAGAGAAGAACATGTCTGATTCTGACCCTGAGATTAATGAGCTGAAGAAAGAACTGGCTTTGCTGACAAACATGACGAGGAAAATTAACAAGAAGTTCACCAAATTCAGAAATCCTGCTACAAACAACAAACAAAGAACTTCTTTCTCAAAATACTCTGAAAGAGTCAGCAGACCATCTGATAAGGTAGTCAGCAGTGACCTAATGAAGTGTTTCAAATGTGGAAAGCCAGGACACTTTGCTAAAGAGTGCCGATCTGCCAAGAAGAAGGACTTCAATTACTATATGCAGATAACAACACTTGCTAAACAAAAGGAGCAAGGGGTTGTCCTAATGGCTGAACATTATAGCTGGCTCGAAGATTCTGAAGATAGTGAGCCAGAGAATTTGGCACTGATGGCAAGGGTAACTGAATCTGGATGTGAAAGTGATGACTCTGGAGAAGAAGACAATGGTGCTACATCTGCTGAGAATGAGGTAAGTAACCTAAACTCTTTAATTTCTCAACAAAATGACAAGATGAAAGAGGTAATCACTTCTCTTAAAAGAGAGAAACAAAATAAAGGAACTTGAAGACAGACTTGCTAATAATCAAAAGGTTCTGGAAAAACAAGTGTTGGAAGGAGCTTTTGAAACTGCTTGCTTAAAAGATTCACGTGATAGAGTTTCTAAGTTAGAGTCAGAAGTAACTAAGCTTAAGCAAATTGTTAGTGACTTAACTAAGGAACGTGATGAGAATAAACGACAACGCTCTGAAGCTGTTATTCGCTATGATCTTATTAACAAAGAACGAGGTCAACTCTACTCTAAAATAAAGGAGTTAGAGGATATCTTAGCCAAGAAAGGTCAAACCGAACAGACAATTCATCTTTTGAATAGTAAATCAGGTTGATAAAAAATCAGATCTTCATCCGCATCTGCTTGATACGAGGTCGAGGCTTCAGGAGGATTGTTAAATGGTTGTGTGGAGGGGGGGGGGGGGGGGGGGGTTAAACTGAGATGTTGAGGCACCTTATACATCATATAGCATTCTTTGATCCCACGTCATTTGGTCATAGTCTCCCCACCTACTCATCTCAGTAGGGACGTTACGAGACGAACCTATTGTTTGTGGTAAAGTGATGGATCGAAAGGTTCACCATGAGAAGTCCAATTATAATAATTGTCAACGAAACCTTTGTCGTACAAATACCACACATTTTCGTCGTTGTCTTTAAATTTGAGATTTTTACACTTTGTACATGGACATCTGATTTTATGACCAACATATGATTCTTTTGTTCAAGTGCAAATTTAATAAACTCTTTAATTACATTAAGAAATTCATCTCGCATTCCTCTTTTTTCGTCATATTTATCATACATCCAACTTCTATTTTGTCTATACATTATGCCTGAATATTATAATCAAAATATTATATTGGTTAAAAACAATATTTATAAACATTAACAATAATTAGTTATGTTTAATATATTTCACTAATTAATATGTAGGAATAATAATATATCAAATTTCACTAAAGTTTACTAAAATTAACTAACGTTCGATTAATATTATTAATTAACTAAAATCAATACGTTAATGGCATTAATCAAACATCATAACTAACTTTGAATCATAATAATTCACAATACTAAGATTTTTAACACTAAATACATTAAAATCTAATTGTATACGTTAATGGCATTAATTCACAATACTAAGAAATTTAACACTAAATCATTACGTTAATGGCATTAATTCACAATACTAAGAATTCTAAAATCTAATAATATGCAATAAACTAACTAACATTTAAATTAAATGAAATTCAAATAATTCACAATAATATTTCATTGACCACCTAAAAATTCACACTAAATTAAATCATTATAAATCCTAAATTAAAGGCATTAACAATAATTGCTAAAATTTAGTATATATTTCTAAATGAATTTCAAATAAACATTTAAATTAACTAAAAATGTGAAAAACATTTTAACTGAATTACTATTAATATTACTTAAAGCTCTAAAAGGTTTTTGACTAAAAGGCATGAACAAACCTAATATTTTTATAAACCCATTTGAATTAACTGTTGGAAAAATGTGTTATAAATTGCATTTAATGGTCCTTTTGGGGTAATTATTTGAGTGGGTCCACTTCCGATTTGGGTCGGGTCAAAGTGGTTTCGGATTTTCCTTATTAAGGGCTACAATTCGATATATGGTACGCTCAAAACGGATAACGGGTGAATGAGAAATTGATTCTCGAAGTTCACTCGTTGAAATGGAAAAACTGGGAAAATGATGGGTTTCTAGTGTGTTTTATACCACACCGAAAAACTCAAGGGATTTTCACCCCCTTATAAAGGGAAGCCTCTTTTAAGGAGTTAGGATTCCTAAAGGTAAAGGCTCTCTCTTACGCGCAGGGGGGTGCCGATCAAATCCCAAAACGGAGAAGAAAAACCGCGACTCGTGTGCATGGGCGACGGGACACGAATGCTTTTCGAAAAATATATCATTCAAAGATGCAATTTAACTTTTGTTTCTTCCCGTAACGTTCCTTAATTTTTTCCAGACCGGCAGAACTGCTCCAGACTCGTAAGATATTCTGGTGGCTTACAGAACAGAACACCTCGTGGGGGAGTTCTGTTGGCCTCCGGACAGAAGACCTTAGGGCTCTTCTGTTGACCTTTGGGCTCTTCTGGTGCCTTCCGAACAGAAGACCTTAGAGGTATTTTGTTGGTTTCCGGAACAGAATACCTAAGCCGTTACGAAAGTTAATGTCCAACGTGCTGGACATTTATGTGCAACGTTCAGGTCCATTAAAGCTCAATTAACACACCACAAATCCTCCTACAAATAGCTGTCAGGTGCTTTGCAACAAACACACGGTTTTACACGTTCACAAGCAACCATACACACATTTTAGCTTTGAAAAACATCTACACCTCTCTGAAAAAATCCTAAGTGTTTCTCATTTGTTCCCGTTCGCCGGAACTCTCGTTTGTGTGCTCAAACGTTAATTCGTTAGCCACCGTATCCTGGGAAACGGTCGGTGCAACGCTCGTAGCACCGTGGGAGGCGACGAATACGTTTTAAGGACACCGTGCGTAGCACGAGCTCTGGCTAAACTCTGTCCCATCTCTTTTTCTGTTTTTCTTTGGCTATTTAATTAATTAATTATTTTTATTAATTAATATTTCTTCGTTTTTCCGATACACACCCAACATTAACTAATTTTTAAATTTAACTAATATTATTAATTAGAAATCCTAAATCAATGGTATTACCAACAATTGAAAAATTAATATACATTTCCAAACGAATTTCAAATATATGCACAATAAATTATAACATCACTAACAATTTTAATTATTTAAAACAAAAAAGATTCTATTTAGCATTAAAAAAGATACATAATTCAAATGACATACCTTATCTGCATAGTCAGGAAAAATGACATAAGATTACATCCTTCAATCTTTCAACAGATATTGTATTATACTCTGATTGAATTTCGACAGGTATGAGTCGAATGAAACTGTTCTTGCATATATAAAAACATTAAGTCACGGATTTTGTCACGGATTGTTCCATGACAACCTCTATCCGTACAACATTAATTCGGTGACCGTTGGAAATAGCAATTATTGAGCTTTGTCACAGATTTTGTCATGGATTTTGTCACCCGTGACAAACGGAAAGTTTTCGGATAAGTTTTCGTGACAACACGCCAGGATAAAAAAAAATTACACCGACATAAGTTTCCGGTCACCTAAGCTGTGTTGTCACAGCCATTGTCACAGAAAGCTTCCGTGACAAAGTTTTGTCACGGATTTGACCTGTGACAAAGGTTTTTGGTGACATGTGAGATAGATCTGTGACAAAATCTGTGACAAACTTGTCACGAACTGAATCCGTGACAAAAATCCGTGACAAAAACACTATTTTTTGTAGTGATTTCCATATCCCAACAAACAAGGTCGGGCCTTGAGCGCCCATCACATATACACGAGGAAATGAGTAGCACGTTTGGATCTTGATGATCCTGCAATCCTTTAGAAACGTGCTAGTTACAATAGGTCCAGAACCTGGCAACCATTTACACAAATATAATTATTTGTATACAGACAACTCTGAGTTAATTACGTACTATTCCATGTGCAGAACCAAAATAGAGAATATGTATAAAACGTGTACAATATGACAGGTACAAAATGATCTTTCCATCTTTATTTGCTTAGGACGAATGACTAAAATATAAACTTATCATAGCAAATGAGAAAAGGTGATTGCTATGGTATCCAGCAAAAATACAATGGTATGGTACCTAGGATGCATTTCATTGGTCCAACTCAATATTTCATATTTCATTTACATTTAATTTATTCAATTGAAATTTTTTATTGGTCCACACCTTCAAGGTACGGTACCTTGAAGGTACCATAGAAATTGCCATGAGAAAAACATGATTCTTTTCAAATTAGGACAAAAAGTGATCGAACATTAATTAATAAACTGGAATGCCCTCAAATAAACAGAACTCTACTCCATCGCAGATTTTTCGATCTCCCAAACTCATGCGGAGCTTCCTCCATGGCAGTATCGCACTCATCCACCGCAAGTAGCCGTTTATCCTTGGCCTATTTCTCATTGTTTCTCTTACTCTTTGATTGTCGCTGCTTTCCCTACCCCGCGATGAAGATCCAAACGGTCGAAGATCAAGGCGTCGTCATTGCCAACCTTCCTCTTCTACAACAACAACATCCAAGCCTTAATCCCAAAAGAATTTGGGGTCGGTTAACATGAATCGATCTAGGATATCGATGCCAAAGAGATAAGACGGACAAGAAAGGGAAGAAAAAGAGAGAGGAATTAAGGCTTATATGTTCTGATTCCTCTAATCCAATGTCATACTCTCATCCAACCTAAGAAGACGCATATCAGTTCTGATTCCTCTAATCCAAGTCTGTTTGGGTCTTCCTCTCCCTCTCTTTTCTGCCTCTTCTCCCCACCCCTCAGGTCATCTAACAGGTGCATCACTCGATCTTCTACGCACATGCCCGTGTTAGATTATTGGACTTATACTACATGTAATATTCATAGTATATTATTCATCAGGTTTAATTGTATGTTATATGATATCTTATATTTAGGCCCAAAAATTAGTGATCCTATGGATATTAATTTAAGTGGGTTAATATGTTATCTAATAAGGTATAGGGCCCAAATGTGTAGAGACTCATGGGCTTAACCTAATTAATGATGGGCTGATTAGGGTTAAGCACTCTCTATAAATAGAGGGGTTATGGTCCCTAGTTGAACATGTCATTCCGTCTTCTGCATCCCATCGCTAGAGAGATATTCTCGAGGTGTGTATCAACTAGAAGACGCAAACCCTAGCCTCCGTCTCCCGGATCTCTAAAGATCATCTCCAATGGAGTCAGGTACGCTTCCGCTCAGTTATTTCTCTAGATAATTCCAATATAAAGATTAAAGTATTCATGGATTTATTCCAACAATTGGTATCAGAGCCTCCTTCATATTGAATTATTTGGAGTCAGTTAAACCTACCGATTCATTAAAATCAGGGTAATGCGATTTTGCACTTATGCAATTTGTTCTTGTTGAATCGACGGTCGATGATCTATCAAAATCATTATGTTTGAACTAGATGCTCCGTTTTTTTCTAGTGAGTATTTTCAAACAACTAATCTGCTGATTAGTTCTGATTTTTTATTGTTGTGATTTTCTTTGTATGCATAAACAAAGTATTTTTCGAATTGTGACTCCTGCATATTTCAATATGGAGTACAAATCAATGGAGTCAACCTTTCTGCATGAATCTGAGTATGTATTGATTTATAATTTTGAATATTTTTTATTGTGATTCAGCAATTGATTATTAATCTAAAGAATTAAGCGTTCCATTTAGGTAATAATGATTCTTGATATTGTCGATCTGAGTTTTTTGTTTTGGATTTCAGCACAGTTAAAAAATCATCATTTTGGCTTTGTCGAATTAAGGAGATCAATCTTACGAATGATATTTTGGAAGATGAATCATCTTTTGTTTTGTTTTTTATTCGAATAAACAGTATGAAACAATACTAAAATCACTTAATGCGGAGTGTTATCTATATATCATTGGATGCAGATAGACTTAATTGACTCATAGTGATTTGAGCTATTTTTCATAAAAGGAATTATAGTAAGTATTTTGTTCATGATTTGGTACCTAATTTTTAAGTTTGCCGAAGTATGTGGATCAAATTAAATTTTGATATGTTTCCTTTTGGGTGATTCAATTTTGGAATTTTCTATGGCTTTGGTAATTAAATACTTATATGTAATTACGGCCAATATCAATTTTATTAAAAATGCATGATTTTGCATTACCGGAATCTATTATTTTTGGTCATTGTAATTTGTGGCTTGAAAAGTACGTATTATGTGTTATGGATGTGTAAACCCTATTTTGCGATCGCACAACGATTGGATACTAGTTTTACAAATTATCGTTATACATAACACTTTTGCATGTGATTCAGAAAAAATCGCCCAATTTTATTTTTCAGGTTATGATTTAATATTAGCATGTCTAATATTTGGGTTGGTTAATTGACACAAGATGTTGCCAAAGTAGTCTCTCTTGTTGAAATTAATTAACTCATGTATTAAGATGATTGTGTACTTTCTTATTACATGCGGATAATAATCGGCTCAAAGGAAGGATATTATTTGGCCGAAATTTAAGTAAACTTGTGCTAATAAAATTTGTGATAATTATGAGTGATGGATAGTGTACCCGGGGGTAGCTTATCCGAGGGGTTATTGCGGAGAATAACTAGAGAGAAGTCAGAGCAAATAAGTAAGAGAGAGAGTGTATATTCGATATGTATTAAGCGTGGTTTACAATGGGGGAAAGGGGTGCCATTTATAGTAGTAATAAATGCCAGATAAGGACACGTGTCAGTTTTCTGGTGGTCGAGGGGTCACCTCAACCGGGGTGGCACTGGCACTCGCATGTGGCCGCATTAAATGCGGTGGTTGGAGGTGACGTTTGTACTTGGTACGGTGATCCAGGCGCATGTGAAGAGGATATTCTGTCGGGGTGGATGCCTTCGGCTGAAGGGTGCTGGGCCGAAGGCTCTTCTAATCGAGGGCTCCTACCTGCCGAGGGCTGTAGGTGCCGAAGGCTTGGTTTTCAAGCCTTGATCTTCTGTGATGCCTCTTCTAACCGAGGGCTCCTACCTGCTGAGGGCTGCAGGTGCCGAAGGCTTGGTTTTCAAGCCTTGATCTCCTATGATGCCTCTTCTAACCGAGGGCTCCTACCTGCCGAGGGCTGCAGTTGCCGAAGGCTTGGTTTTCAAGCCTTGTTCTCCTATGATGTTTCTGAGCTCGATTCCGTCACTGGTAGCCTTCGGCCATGGGGCCGAAGGCACTCCTTTGCGTATTGTGGGCTGCTTAGAGCTCCATTTTTCTGGGCTTGGCCCGTTTGGGCCTGTTGGGCCTGATTGTAGTAGAGGAAGTATGTGGGCTGGGGGTCCCTGGGCCATATACTCCATCAGGAGTCCCCCACTCCTTTTGCCGAAAGGTACTTGAGGGAAAAGGAGTAGCTGTGGTGATTTCCCCGAAGGCTTCCCTGTTCTGTTGGGTGCCTCATTTTCTCAATTCCCCCATATGTCGAGGGCTGAGAGCTTCCTGAAGGGAGTGTAAGTGTGTTGCTCGTATGTGTTTCTTTGTTGTAGTTTGTAAAGTAATGAGAGATCTTCATTTGTGTGCTTTGCTGAGGGCATTTGTTGACTGAAGGCTTTGTGTGGCCGAAGGCATCATGTGGCCGAAGGCATCATGTGGCCGAAGGCATCATGTGGCCGAAGGCATCATGTGGCCGAAGGCATCATGTGGCCGAAGGTATCATGTGGCCGAAGGCATCATGTGGCCGAAGGCATTGTGTGGCCGGAGGCATCATGTGGCCGAAGGCATTGTGTGGCCGGAGGCATTCTGTAAGCCGAAAGCATCATGTCGAGGGGAGTAGATTGCCGTTGTGATCTTGCCTCAGCTTGCTGTAGCTGAGAAATAGAAAATTTTTAACATTTGCGTGTTTTGCCGAGGGGAGTACCCCAGTCCCCCACTCCTTTTGCCGAGAGTTTCTCGAGGGAAACAGGAGTAGAGTGATGCATGCCTTCAGCTGGAGCCGCCGAGGGGTGACGCCTTTTGTTCCACAATGGGGAGATGCCTCGTTAAAAACCTCATTAGGAAAAAACCCTGTGGGGAAAAAAATCCTAATGAGGGAAAAAGAGTACACCGGATGCCCCCAGAATGAAGCAAAAGGAATGCACCCTTCGGCCTAGATTTTTGAGCGATGGTTGTGTCCGTCTGCTGAGGGGATATCGAAGACCAGCCTTAGATCCTGCATGAAAAAGCTGAGGAGCTTATAAGGACCCCTTGTTATCAAATAAAGGTGATGGAGGGGTGCAAGGCCAGGTGGGCCTGTGTGAGAGCCCCTGGCATCAAATACAGATGCCGGAGGGATGGAGACCGAGGGGCCTGTGTGATTGCCCCCGACATCAAATAAATATGCCGGAGGGGTGAAGGCCGAGGGCCTGTATGATAGCCCCTGGCATCAAATAAAGATGTCGAAGGGATGAAAGCTAGGCTGAGGGGCCTGTATGACAGCCCCTGGCATCAAATAAAGATGCCAGAGGGATGAAGGCCGAGGGACCTGTGTGATTGCCCCTGACATCAAATAAAGATGTCGGAGGGATGAAGGCCGATGGGCCTGTATGATAGCCTCTGGCATCAAATAAAGATGCCGGAGGGATGAAGGCCGAGGTACCTGTGTGATTGCCCCTGACATCAAATAAAGATGTCGGAGGGATGAAGGCCGATGGGCCTGTATGATAGCCCCCGTCATCAAATAAAGATGCCGGAGGGATGAAGGCCGAGGGACCTGTGTGATTGCCCCCGACATCAAATAAAGATGTCGGAGTGATGAAGGCCGAGGGCCGTTGTGATGTGGAATCATGCTGAGGTCGAGGGCCGTTGGTGATGTTGAATCACGCTGAGGCCGAGGGCCTTTGGTGATGTGAAATCATGTAAGGCAAAAACTGTTATGACTTAGAGTCATGTTGAGTCCGAGGGCCGTATGATGTTGAGGCCAAGGGCCATTGTGATGTGGAATCACGCTGAGGCCGAGGGCCGTTGTTGATGTTGAATCACGTTGAGGCCGAGGGCCTTTGGTGATGTGAAATCATGTAAGGCAAAAACCATTATGACATAGAGTCATGTTGAGGCCGAGGGCCGTCTGATGTTGAGGCCGAGGGCCATTGTGATGTCCTCACGCTGAGGCCGAGGGCCGTTGTTGATGTTGAGGCAGAGGGCCGTTCTGATGTTGAGGCCGAGGGCCGTTCTGATGTTGAGGCCGAGGGCCGTTGTGATGTCCTCGCGCTGAGGCCGAGGGCCGTTGTTGATGTTGAGGCCGAGGGTCGTCCTCATGTTGAGGCCGAGGGCCGTTGTTGATTTTGAGACCGAGGGCCGTTCTGATGTTGAGGCCGAGGGCCGTTGTGATGTGGAATCGCGCTGAGGCCGAGGGCCATTGTTGGTGTTGAATCACGTTGAGGCCGAGGGCTTTTGGTGATGTGAGATCACGCTAAGGCCAAAACCGTTATACCAAGGCCGAGGGCCATTGGTGATGTCCTCACGCTGAGACCGAGGGTCGTTGTTGATGTTGAGGCCGAGGGCCGTTCTGATGCTGAGGCCGAGGGCCGTTGTGATGTGGGATCACGCTGAGGCCGAGGCCGTTGTTACTGTTGAATCACGTTGAGGCCGAGGGCCTTTGGTGATGTGAAATCATGTAAGGCAAAAACTGTTATGACATAGAGTCATGTTGAGGCCGAGGGCCGTATGATGTTGAGGCCGAGGGCCATTGTGATGTGGAATCACGCTGAGGCCGAGGGCCGTTGTTGATGTTGAATCACGTTGAGGCCGAGGGCCTTTGGTGATGTGAAATCATGTAAGGCAAAAACCGTTATGACATAGAGTCATGTTGAGGCCGAGGGCCGTATGATGTTGAGGCCGAGGGCCATTGTGATGTGGAATCACGCTGAGGCCGAGGGCCGTTGTTGATGTTGAATCACGTTGAGGCCGAGGGCCTTTGGTGATGTGAAATCATGTAAGGCAAAAACCATTATGACATAGAGTCATGTTGAGGCCGAGGGCCGTATGATGTTGAGGTCGAGGGCCATTGTGATGTGGAATCACGCTGAGGCCGAGGGCCGTTGTTGATGTTGAATCACGTTGAGGCCGAGGGCCTTTGGTGATGTGAAATCATGTAAGGCAAAAACCATTATGACATAGAGTCATGTTGAGGCTGAGGGCCGTTGTTGATGTTGAGGCAGAGGGCCGTTGTTGATTTTGAGACCGAGGGCCGTCTGATGTTGAGGCCGAGGGCCGTTGTGATGTGGGATCACGCTGAGGCCGAGGGCCGTTGGTGACGTGGAATCATGCCAAGGCCGAGGGCCATTGGTGACGTGGAATCGAATTGAGGCCGAGGGCCTTTCATTGATAGTTCCAGGAGTCCTCTGGGTGTATGTTCCTTCTTTCAGGCATCGACCGAGGGGTTGATTCTCCGCCTCGGCCGAAAGGAGGTCCAAGTGATCCGTCCGGGGGTTCGTCTGTTAGTCCCTCGGCGCTAGGCCGTCCCTTGATTGTGCCAGGAGGTCGTATGTTAGTCCTCATGATGTGTGTTCCTTCTTCTAGGCTTCGGCCGAGGGGTTGATTCCCCGCCTCGGCCTAAAGGAGGTCCAAGTGATCCGTCCGGGGGTTCGTCTGTTAGTCCCCCGGCGCTGGGCCGTCCCTTGATTGTGCCAGGAGGTCGTATGTTAGTCCTCCTGATGTGTGTTCCTTCTTCTAGGCTTCGGCCGAGGGGGATGCTTCCCCGCCTTGGCCGGAAGGGGGTCCAAGTGATCCGTCCGGGGGTTCGTCTGTTAGTCCCCCGGCGCTGAACCGTCCCTTGACCTTGGGGGGTCCCGTCGTCTATTAACGGCGCGGGCTAGGCTTGGTCGGTTTCTGACGACTGCCGTTTCACCCCCAAGTTTGGGGATTTCGTCACCTCAGCCATTCTTTCAGGCCTGTCGCCGTGCGTTGCGCGTCGGCAACGCGGCGAGCGTCCCGCTCCAAAAACGCGGGCCTTTTGCAGGCCCCTCGTCTTTAGAAACCATCGGCCATACCTGGGCATTTGGCCTCGAAGGGGCCGATAAGATGTCTGGATTGTGTTGTAGTTTACTTAAATTCATAGAAATAAGCGGAATACAAGGGGTGCGTTATTTGACAACGGGTTTAGGCCGAGGGCTCTAGGCCGAGGGGATGGTAATGTGCCTCGAGGTCGAGGGCCCAAGGCTGAGACTAACGCCGAAGGTGAGGAACATGATTAGCGGAGGTGGCGCTTCTTCGGCTGGGGCTCCTCGAACTCCTCTCCGTCACTGAGCCTCCCGATTTCATGTTTCTTTGTTGCGATGTCCCCTTCTTCTTTATCGGTGTTCTCCTCGGTGTTTTTCCTTGGGGCATTTTTGATGAATTGGTGGAGCTCACCCCGTTGAATTAAGAGTTCAATAGCCTTCTTTAACGAGACACAATCGTCTGTATTGTGGGAGGTGCTTTTGTGGTAACGGCAATAAGTGCCGCCTTGGTGGATGGCGTAGATCTCCCTCGCCGACCGAGGGTCCTTCGGGAAAAGGTCCTGCTCTTCCGCATAGTTGAGGATAGTGCTCACCGGGTGCGTGAGGGGAGTCCTCGGCATGTCCAGCCGAGGGCGCCATTGGCGTTCGTTACGGCCTTGCTGGGTGTGGCTTCCATGGTCTCGGCCTCCGGCCGAGGGCACATTTGGGGCCGGCGTGTTGTTTATTTTCTTCGAGGGCTGGCCCTCGTTCTTCTTGAAGGAGTGGAGGTCGTCGGCGTCGGCGTATAGGCTCCCCCGCTGGAGTGCTCTGAGGTATGATCTTGGGGGGTCGGTGATGAGGCTCCGTGCGTAGGGGCTGCTGCGGAGAACCCCCTGGAAGAGGACGAGGAGGGTACGCTCGTCGGCGCCCTCGACCTCGTCTGTCTCCTTCATCCACCGGTCAATGAAGGACCGAAGTGTTTCGTCAGGCTGTTGCTTGACGGAGAGGAGCTGGGAGAAGTGCTTTCTCGCGCGCTTCCTTCCGGCAAAATGTGTGAGGAAGCGTTGGGAAAGATCTTGCCAAGAGTCAATGCTGCCCTCGGGCAATCGATTGAACCATTCGTATGCTGGTCCCTCCAAGGTGGAAAGGAACCAACGACATAAGTATTCATCTGATGCCCCCATCATCATCATGATGTTTTGATACCTGTTGTAGTGCTCCTGGGGGTCAGTTTTTCCTTCATAGGGCTTGATGAGTTGCCCTCGGTACTTTTCCGGGATTTGGGCCGCCAATACCCTTGGGGTGAATGGCGTCCGGGTCCGGAGCTGGATGATGGGTTCCCCGGAGCCCTCGGCCACCTTCTTCTGTAATTCCTCCATTTTGGCCATCATGGCCTCGTATTTGAGGTCTGAATGAGGGGTGGAGGTGGTGGCGTGAGCTTTGTCGGCCTCCATTTCATCAAGTCGGCGTTGGAGGGCCGCAATAATTTCATCCCGGGGGTCCTTCGGGAGGGTCTCCGCCCCCTGCGAACGAACTCGGGCCGAGTGGGCCTGGTTGATCTGGTGGCGAGCATCGTCGGCATGAAGGGGTGCCTTGCCTTTGTCCCGAGGGGGACGCTCCTCGTCTGCCCTCGAGACAGACCCTCCGCTTTCTTGGGGCCCTCGGCGGTCTTGCCCCCCTCCGAGCCGGTTGAGGGCGGAAGTGCGGGGCCTTTCTCTGTTGTCATTGTGGCGGTCCCGGGACTGAACTTCCTGGGAGGCCGTGTCTTGGGCCACTACCCCTTCGTCATTCCTAACCCGAGGGATGGGGTTTCCGAAGGGGTGTGGCAGAGGGGGAAGTACGATGTTCTCCCCAACCTGGGGTTGAGCCGGAGCCAGGGTGCCGAAGGCACCCGGGTTCTGAGTTAGCGTCTGGATGAAGGCAGAGAGTGCCGAATGAACGTCGATGGTGAGGACCGGAGGGTTGACTTGGTCATCGCTCCGGTTTTTCTTCTTAGCCTCGATGCCGAGGCGGGCATCGGGGGCATTCTGCTGGATCTGAAGGCGTAGGTCGACAGCCGCCTGTTCCAGCCCAGCAATGACACCGCCCTCGGGAGCCTTGTGAGAGGCTTCGGGGGCGTTGACGTCGCCGAGGGCCAGGTTCTTGTCTTCTACGTTTTTGGAGTTGACACGTGTTGATCTCACCATTTTGGTAGAGGGCTAGTGTTTGGCGAAGGGGGAGGGTTTCTTACTCGATTGTTCGACCTCTCAACGAGAGCACCAAATGATGGATAGTGTACCCGGGGGGTAGCTTATCCGAGGGGTTATTGCGGAGAATAACTAGAGAGAAGTCAGAGCAAATAAGTAAGAGAGAGAGTGTATATTCGATATGTATTAAGCGTGGTTTACAATGGGGGAAAGGGGTGCTATTTATAGTAGTAATAAATGCCAGATAAGGACACGTGTCAGTTTTCTGGTGGTCGAGGGGTCACCTCAACCGGGGTGGCACTGGCACTCGCATGTGGCCGCATTAAATGCGGTGGTTGGAGGTGACGTTTGTACTTGGTACGGTGATCCAGGCGCATGTGAAGAGGATATTCTGTCGGGGTGGATGCCTTCGGCTGAAGGGTGCTGGGCCGAAGGCTCTTCTAATCGAGGGCTCCTACCTGCCGAGGGCTGTAGGTGCCGAAGGCTTGGTTTTCAAGCCTTGATCTTCTGTGATGCCTCTTCTAACCGAGGGATCCTACCTGCCGAGGGCTGCAGGTGCCGAAGGCTTGGTTTTCAAGCCTTGATCTCCTATGATGCCTCTTCTAACCGAGGGCTCCTACCTGCCGAGGGCTGCAGTTGCCGAAGGCTTGGTTTTCAAGCCTTGTTCTCCTATGATGTTTCTGAGCTCGATTCCGTCACTGGTAGCCTTCGGCCATGGGGCCGAAGGCACTCCTTTGCGTATTGTGGGCTGCTTAGAGCTCCATTTTTCTGGGCTTGGCCCGTTTGGGCCTGTTGGGCCTGATTGTAGTAGAGGAAGTATGTGGGCCGGGGGTCCCTGGGCTATATACTCCATCAATGAGGTTTTCATGTGAATATTAAGTTGGTCCAAAGAAAGGCTTAGTATTTGACATGATTTTATTATAAAAAAATTTATTATTACACCAAGAGTACCACTTGCAAGTCTAATTTTTGTCCAGAGACAAGATTAGATGTTGCGCTAGGTATCTTGTGATGAGGATTGCTAATATTTTAAATTAATTATCAAATTAATTACAATTTCTAGAGCATATCATTTATATTATTTTTATTCTCTTTCAGTCAACAATTCTGCTGCTACAATATCTGCTAATATTAATAGCATCGCAGTGCTTAACGACACGAATTTTAAGGAATGGAAAGAGAACGTTATGATTGTTCTCGATTGCATGGATCTAGACCTTGCACTTCGGACTGAGAAACTTGCCGCTCTTAAGGACACATCTACCCTTGATGAAAAGAGTGAGATGGAGAGGTGGGAACACTCAAACTGCATGAGTCTAATGATCATGAAACGTGCAATTCTAGAATCATTCAGGGGTACGATGTCTGATGAGGCTAATGCCAAATCGTTCCTTGCCGAACTTGAAAAGTGTTTTGCTAAAAACGAAAAGGCGGAAACTAGTACTCTTTTGAGTGCTCTTATTTCCATGAAGTACAAAGGCAAAGGGAACATAAGGGAGTACATTTTGGAAATGTCTCACATTACTTCAAAACTAAGTGCACTAAAGCTTATTTTACATGAGGAATTGCTTGTCTATTTAGTTTTGATCTCTCTTCCTTCTCAATTTAATCAATTTAAAGTAAGATACAAGTGCATTAAGGAGAAATGGTCTCTCAATGAGCTCATTTCTCATTGTGTTCAATAGGAAGAGAGAATAAAGCAAGATAAGACTGAAAGTGCTCATTTGGCATGTACCTCTAAGGGCAGCAATAAAACTAAAATTACGGAAGCTGTAAATTCAGGGCCTCAAAGAAAGCATCATAAGGAAACTAAGGAAGAAACTAAGGAATCTGGATGCTTCTTTTGCAAAGGGACTAATCACAAGAAAAGAACTGCACTACGTACCACGCCTGGCGTGCAAAAAGGGGTATGTCTCTTGCTCTTGTTTGTTCTGAGGTTAATTTAATTTCGGTACCCAAAGACACTTGGTGGGTAGATTCCGGTGCTACTACTCACATAAGTGTATCTATGCAGGGTTGTCTGAGCTGCCGAAAACCAATTGATGGTGAAAGATACATCTATGTCGGTGATGGCAAGTGGGTTGAAGTTGAGTCTATCGGTGTTTTTAGATTATTATTAAAGACCGGTTTTTATTTGGATTTGAAAGAGACATTTGTTGTGTTGTCATTTAGGCGAAATTTAATTTCTATTTCTGCATTGGACAAATTTGGTTATTCTTGTTCATTTGGAAATAGTCAGTTTAGTCTATTTCAAGATTCAAAATTTATTGGTACTGGTCTTTTATCAGTTTATGATAATCTATATTCACTTGATATAATTACCTCATATAATGAAACTTTGCAAGCAAGTACTCGTGGTACTAAAAGGAAATTAACCAATGAGAATTCATTTTCACTATGGCACAAACGTTTAGGACATATTTCTAAAGAAAGAATTCAAAGACTTGTGTCAGATGAAATTCTTGATTCTCATGACTCCTCAAATTATGATATTTGTGTTAGGTGCGTTAAGGGAAAATCAACGAACAAACGGAGATTAGGTGTCGAGAGAGCTTCAGATCTATTAGAATTGATATATACAAACATTTGTGGACCATTCCCTACACCATGTAGAAATGGTCAAACATATTTTATCACATTCATAGATGATTACTCTTGTTATAGTTACCTTTATCTCATTCATGAAAAGTCTCAATCAATAGACGTGTTCAAATCTTATAAGGCTGAATTTGAAAATCAATTAGGCAAAAGAATAAAAATCGTTAGATCTGACCGTGGTGCTGAATACTATGGTAGATATGATGGTTTTGGTGAATAACGTTCAGGGTCATTTGCTAAATTCCTATAGGAGTGTGGAATTGTTCCTCAGTACACCATGCCAGGAACTCCTAGCATGAATGGTGTTGCTGAGAGACGAAACCGTACATTGAAGGACATGATTAGGAGTATGATTTGTCATACTACATTACCAGATTCACTCTGGGGAGAGGCACTGAAAACTGCAGCTTACATACTCAACAGAGTTCCCACTAAATCTACAACTAAAACCCCTTGTGAAATTTGGACTGGAAAGAAACCCAGTATAAATCATTTCCATGTTTGGGGTTGTCTAGCTGAGGTAAGGCCTTATAGGCCAAATGAAAAGAAACTGGACTCCAGAACAGTTAGTAGCTATTTTGTAGGATACTCTGAGAGGTCAAGGGGGTATAAGTTTTATGATCCCGCTACTAGGACTATTTTTGAGATGGGTAATGCCCGATTCTTTGAGGATATTGAGTTTTTGGGGTGTGGAGAGATAAGGTTAGAGATTTTGTCTTTGAGGAAGAGCATGTTACTCTTCCTTCAGTTGTCATTGAACATGATCAAGATATTTTTATTCCTAATGATGTTCAAGAAACAACTCCAGTTCAGGACAATCTCGAAAACATCCCCAATCTAGCACCTGAAATTATTAATGAGGATCAAACTTAACAACCTCAAGAACCTGAGGTGCCATTAAGGAGATCCACTCGAGAGAGGAGAAGTGCAATTTCGAATGATTATATTGTATTTCTCCAAGAACATGAGGAAAATTGGGAATTGGTGGAAGAAATCATTGTCTTCCTCCAAGAACAAGAATCAGATGTTGGTTTTGCGGAAGATGATCCAATCAACTTCCGTCAAGCCATGGATAGTTCTTACTCTCAAGAATGGATTAATGTCATGAAAGATGAGATGAAGTTTATGAGTGACAACGACGTTTGGGAGTTAGTCTCATTGCCTGAAGGTATTAAACTCATTGGTTGTAAATGGATTTTTAAAATCAAGAGGGATTCAAAAGGCAGTGTTATAAGGTTTAAAGTTCGTCTTGTTGCTAAAGGCTACACTAAAAAAAAAGGAATTGACTATAAAGAGACTTTCGCTCTGGTATCCTCGAAAGACTCTTTTAGTACAATAATGGCATTAGTGGTACATTTTGATCTTAAGCTTCATCAGATGGATGTAAAAACTGCATTTCTCAATGGTGACATTGAGGAATCAATCTATATGGAGCAATCAGAAAACTTTGTTTCGGGAGATCCAAAGAAAGCGATTTGCAAATTAAAGAAATCCATCTCTGGGTTCAAGCAGGCCTCTCGTCAGTGGTATCACAAATGTCATAAAGTCATTATATCTTTTGGTTTTCAACCAAATGTCAGTGATGATTGTATATACCACAAGTTCAGTGGGAGTAAGCATATTTTCCTGGTTTTGTATGTTGATGACATACTGCTTGCTAGCAACAATATAGGCTTATTGCACGAAACTAAGAGATTTCTTTCAAAGAATTTTGAAATGAAAGATCTTGGTGAGGCTTCTTTTGTATTAGGAATTTAAATACTCCGAGATCGCTCCAAAGGCGTTCTTGGACTCTCACAAAAGAGTTATATCGATAAGGTTTTCAAAAGGTTTGGTATGCAAGACTGCAAACCAGGAGACACACCAGTTTCTAAATGAGACAAGTTTAGTCTCATGCAGTGCCCTAAGAATGGTTTTGAATCTAAGGAAATGAGGAACATTCCTTATGATTTAGCTGTAGGAAGTTTGATGTATGCCCAGGTTTGTACAAGACCTGATTTGGCATACATTGGGTGGGTGTTAGGCAGATATTTGAGCAATCCGGGAATGGACCATTGGAAAGCAGTCAAAAGGGTCATGCAATATTTACAGAGAACAAAGGAATATATGCTCACATATCGGAGATCAGATCAGCTTGAGATCATTGGGTATACCGACTCTGATTTTGCTGGATGTCGAGATAGCTTGAGATCCACTTCAGCCTACATCTATATTCTAGCTGGAGGAGCTATCTCTTGGAGGAGTATCAAGCAGACTCTTACAGCTACTTCCACCATGGAAGCAGAGTTTATAGCATGTTATGAGGCATCCAATAAGGCATTATGGCTGCGAGATTCTGTTAGTAGACTGCACATAGTGGATAGCATTGAAAGACCACTCAAGCTATTGTGTGACAATAGATCATCAGTCTTCTATGCTAAGAACAACAGTAGTTTGATCAAGGCAAAACACATTGGGGTCAAATTTAAGGCTTTTAAGGAACGAGTACAAGAAGGAAAGTAATCTATAGAACACATTAGCACAAACTCCATGATTGCGGATCCGCTCACTAAAGGATTGCCGCCCAAAGTGTTTCATGAGCATGTTGCTCAAATGGGTGTCAAATCAGTTGAGGATTATGAGTTTTAGTGGGAGTTTGTAATGTTTCTATATTTGGTTAATTCAATTTTTTTAAGGTTATTTTCTGCGGAAATAAAGTTTAAAGTTTTATGTACTCTTACAGTTATATTATCGATCTCAAGGTGGACCAATTGCAAATAGACATCCTATTCCAGACCACACTTCATGTTATTTCCACGCTACACACTTATACTTGATCCATGTCGTTTATTATATTAATGTATGTCATCATTGATGGGTCTAGTTATTCAAATAAAGCAAAGACTTCTTTGGTCCTATGTTGATATAATTAATGGACCGGATTGATTAAAGATGACTATAGTTTGATAGCAATATTTTGGAGCTCCTAAAGTAAACATACAATACTAAGAATTGTGTGTATACATGTGTATGTCGTCCAAGTGGGAGATTGTTAGATTATTGGACTTATACTACATGTAATATTCACAATATATTATTTATCGGGTTTAATTGTATGTTATATTCAATCCTATATTTAGGCTCAAAAACTAGTGGTCCTGTGGATATTAATTTAAGTGGGCTAATATGTTATCTAATAAGGTATAGGGCCCAAATGTGTAGAGACCCATGGGATTAACCTAATTAATGATGGGCTGATTAGGGTTAAGCATTCTCTATAAATAGAGGGGTTATGGTCCCTAGTTGAACACGTCATTCCGTCTTTCTGCATCCCATCGCTAGAGAGATAATCCCGAGGTGAGTATCAACTAGAAGACGCAATGGAGTCAGGTACGCTTCCGCTCAGTTATTTCTCTAGATAATTCCAATATGAAGATTAAAGTATTCATGGATTTATTCCAACAGCCCAAACCACCGCAAACGATACTCTTGCATCTTATTTTCTATAGGTGCTACCGTGCTACTCCCACCTTTTGTCTGATTACCTCATTGCTCAAGCAGTCTTTTCTGGTATGTCCACACATCCAATGCAACATACGCATCTCTGCCGCACTCATCTTTTGAATGTGACATTGCTTCACCGTCCAACACTCTACGCCATACATTAATGCAGGCCTAATTGATGTTCGATAAAATTTACGCTTCAGTCTAGTCGGCATACCTCGATCGCATAGAAATCCTGAAGCACTCTTCCATTTCATCCACCCAGCTCTGATACTATGGCATACATCTCCATCTAATTCACCATCTTTCTGAATTATGGAGCCCAAGTAACGGAACATATCACACACCCATATCTCCTTACCATCAAGAGTAATCTCATTGTTGTTACTACTTCTACCTCCACCAAACTTGCACTCCATTTACTCAGTCTTGCTTCGGCTCAATCTGAAACCCTTTGTCTCCAATGTTTGTCGTCATACTTCCAACTTTGCTTTAACACCGGAATGTGTCTCATCAATCAATACAATATCATCGGCAAACATCATGCACCACGGTATATTTTCTCTTCCAATTGAAATCAACCAGTGACGAAGATCAAGGCGTCGTCATTGATGGTCGTTGCCACTAGTTCAACCGACCTTGATGGTCACCCCCGCCGAATTAGTCATCATCGATGGTCATATCTACTGATTCAGCCATCCTCGATGACCGCATCTATTGTTGGATGTACAGTCCTCGATAGAGTTCCGGTTACACGCCGCTGAAAGCAACGTTTAGGGTTACAGTTGTGGCAGCAGTAGAAGCTAAGGGCGATGAACGGCGACAGCAGTGGCCTAACCGCTACACGTTCGAGTGGTGTGGGAGCAATTGTGTGCGGCGACTAGGGACAGGGTGTCGCGCTATGCGGATGTACAGGGGCTGAGGGAGGGTGATTGGATAGGTGAACGTTGATCACTAGGTGACCAGATGATTGGACATTGATCACTGGACGCATAGACAAGCATGTAATTGTGTTTTAATCATTGATCCATTTGGTTATTGAGCGAAAATCACAATGTCAATTGGTCACTGAGCGAGAGTCATTATAGGATTGGTTACTCTAGCGTTCAATTGGTTTAGTAAGGATGAAATGGTCCATTTACCCATTTTTAGTCACATTTTTTTAAATTAAATAGAAAGATCACTTTTTTTTACTCTATTTTTTAGTACTACCTCCATCCCTTAAAACTTTGTCAATTTTTTTTTTTGGGATGTCTCACTAACTTTGCTACTTTCCCTTTTAGGTAAAGAATTTATGGTTCCGGTTAACTCTCTCTTCTCAACACAAACCTCAACCACACAATTTTTAGTTTATTAATCCATGTATCGATCAAACATGACAAAGTTTTAAGGGACAAGGAGAGTAATATTCATGGCAAGCCCTTATAATATAACTGTATACGTTAAGCAGTGAAGGTGTGGCCGTGTAGGAGTAAAATAATGAATAAATTTTCAAAAGTCCTTGAAACTCGGTTGTAAATAATTCCATGATACAGTATAATTATGCAGCAATTATAATTCATTCAATGCCATAAGAAAGTAAGAGGCTTACTAAATACTCAAAGCATGACAAAAACAAATGTTCAGAGTTAATATTAATGATAATCACAAGATCCAAAGTAATGGCTTAATCTCTACACCTTCAGGAGTTCCATCCATCATCGACTGAGGGATTCATGGAAGTTGAATACATTACTTATTAAATCATTTTTATCGGCCCATGAATTGTAAGAAATACACATGATCAGCCTCAGATCCAAACAATCATCAATCTTCAACCGAATCTTCGTCATCACCTGTGGCTCTCCCAGCTTTTTACTTACCAGCCAGCTTGCTCATTGCAACATTTACCCTTTCATCTGTGATCATCTTGTGGCTATCGTAAAAATCTAATATTTCCATCGCTATGTTCTTTACCTGTTAAATCGGTGGGAGTCAGATTGTATGACAACTATTAGGCTCCATATGGTAGCCATTATCTGCCTTATCAAACTGGCTGATTTTGGCTCCAATGAATGCTATCAAACCCTTAATATATTTCAGCCAAGTTACACTTACCAAACAGGCCCTTAATAACTGTTATTAAAAGCATGTCAATTATTATGAGGATCACAAAAAGTACTTTAAAGGCATACCACGTTCATGTCAGCTCGAAGCTCTTCAAACCAGGAAGTGCTGTTTTCTCTGTCTTTCAAAACGCTTGCTATGTATATGCATGCTAATGCTATCAGGTGGGGTGGATGAATAAGAATTAGATCCATCTTATACGTATCATTCACAATTCCCCTGAAAATGTGACCCCCCCCCCCCCCCCCCCATTGATTAGGATATTAAAATTAGTAGTTATTACTATTGTGGTTGACATCAACACAAACAGCAGATATGATAGAGTAAGCCTAGATGAAAAAACAGGTTTTGTACCAAGTTAGGTGAGTTGCATCGTTCATACCAGCATCCTGCAGCAACCTAACAGTACACAAATGACAAGTAGCCTGGGATCAGTATGGATGGAGGCCTTTGGGAGAGGAGGTAAAGGTCAAAAATTCAAGAGGCTTCGTCTACAATAAAGGGTGATTGAAATGTTATATGATCGCACATTATACTATTATTATGTCATTTAACTAATTTGGTAAAATCTCAAATATATATCAAGTAATAAACTTGACCCTCCAAAGTTAATAATTGGTCGCTCTTAAGTTACATTGATTTGTGTAACATATGCAAAAGCTTTACAAAGTATTCCTTACTGTGTTAGCGAACTGTATGGATGGAACACAACCAAGTAATAGTTGAGGGCTTCCAAAATTTTCATCTCCATTTCTAAAATGTCTTTTATTTCAAATCTGTACTTCTCATCCGAATCTGAAAAGGTGAAATAGAACTATTATCATATATGGACCAAAAAGGGACCACAAAGTGTATATTGAGTGTATGATAATCAATTATCATTTTTACATATTTTCTTGATATAAAAAACGAGGTGCCTAGCTTGCATTGTGCTCTCTTCTGCCTTCGATGCCAAGTATAAGCAGGCTGGAGCAACCAGACGAGGATCATATTCTGTCATACTTTTTCTGAGAGCAGCAAAAGAAATTGTGTACTGATTGTAGCTCTAAAATCTTTAAGATGTAATTTATTCTGAAGGTAAACGAAATCAATATCCTTCGCAACATAAAATTATTCTGTATTTTTTTTAAAATAGAACAATCAGATATAATCACCAACAGAAACAAAAAATAAACTAAAATAAAGAGAAAAGTGTCAAATAAGCCCCCATACTATTTCGAAAATGTAAATTAAGTCTCCGAATGCAATTATCACTCAATTAAACCCACAAACACATAAAAAGTTTCAAATCGGCTTTTTAGCCTGTAAGCTCCCGGTGCCAGGTAAAGTGTGTCTCTAGCATATGACGTGGCTTTAATTTTTTTTCCTCCAAGTCAATGTTGACTTGTTCCCCCTTTTGTTGTTTCAATCATCCCAACTTTGAAATTCCCCCCTTTCTTCCTCAACCCTCTTCTGAAATTTCTTCCATGTATTGGATAAAATGAAAATCAGCAACCATTTGATAGGTGTGATAAACTTCAGAAGCTGGTAACCTCCTACTCATAGTTTCAGATGTGCTTGGGAGCAAGAAATTGCAACAGTAACTTTCCCAGACCATGGATCTCTGATTTTCTTATATGAGGCAGCTTGGCAAGACAGAGGGTCAACCAGAGCGGGTATTTCCGGCAGCGATGGTTCCGGAGGGAAAACAAAAGTAGGTCAGGTCCTTCAGTCTCGTATGAGGCAGCTTGGTGCGGTGATGACTCCATTAATGGAGGTATGATACACACAATGACCATTGAGGGAGAACCAAAGTGGATCAGGTTAGAACTCCAGATCGGGGAGTATGAGGCACCTTGGTGAGATGGTAACTCCATTAATGAAGGTATGAAGCTCCGGGTACAAACGACGTCCATGGAACACACCATAACTAATAATCGACGGCAGCAATAATGAATAGTATGAAAACACAGAGAGTCAGATGTCGGAGTCCTCCTCTTTCCCGACATGGGTATTTCTGGCGGCGATGATGGAGCTTGAAACATGCCTTCCTTCATGACCGGCGTCCCCCATCGGAGGCCTCCCTCTTATTCTTTTCTTCCCTGTTTTGCCACTTCTGCCAACCGTGAGTGTTGCTGATATGTCTTAACATGTATGGTGTATGTCATCAAAAATTTAGTAGTGATGGATGCCATGTCAGCATTACCGGAATCACCCGTTCTTTACCGGCAAAAAAGCTGAATTGCATGTTTTTGTGTAGTTGATGGATTTGATTGGATGATAATTGAGTTGGGAGCCTTAAATGACATTTTCGAAATAGTATGAGGGCTTATTTGACACTTTTCCCTAAAATAAAAAATAGATTGTTCAACACACTACAGACAGGGTATCAATCACAATTTACCTGACATAAACACGTCTCATGTATGAAATGGCAGTAGCTACAACCCTGATAATAACCAAAATGAGAGAGTGACAAAACTTGGCTAAAATGGAAATCAAACTAGCAAAGTGTTTGGTCCTCGAGTTGTAACTTAGACAAGCTCGTATCCAGGGAAAGCACTCTCACAAGTCACAAATAATGGTAGGCACATACATTTCTGCTGAAGGGATGTTACTCCATCCAAAAAAACTTAGCATGTTTAAGGTAGAACTGTTAAAAGACATGAAAAGATGTTTAATAAAATACTACGGAGTACGTAATTGTTTAACTATATGCATCATATTCAACTTCTTTGTACTTTTTTTTGGAAAACATGTTAGTGTGGATGAAATATTAGTTTTGTTTGATTAAATAAGACTTCTTAATGGGCAAAAACATTTAAAATATGACTCTCTTTTAGTAAGACAAAGTCAAGGTCTCAAGGAGTATTAATTTAGAAGTTAGCCAAACTAGATGCAGAAATTAGAAGATTAAATACATTCAACTCAGTCAGATTTAGTAAAAGGAAACACTAACCTTTGCCTAACTTTAACATTTTGGGCCAATCTTGAAATGTCTGGAAATAGGGAAAACTCGAAGTCAGAGTATATGGAAGAGTGTAACATACAATGTGTTAGAAACCAAATTATATATAACTACCATGTGATGAAAGGGGAGAGCATGAAGAAAAGGCCCATTTCATTTCTGGTCTGTTTGGAAAGTGGAAATACTAGGGAAAGAAATTTTGAGGAAAGCATAGAAGATAATTGAAGGAAAGAAATTTGGGGGAGGGGGGGTAAAAGAAAGAATCAAGCTCTACATGTTTTTACATTTCATCAGACTCGTTTCTATTATTCAAAGGGTATGAAATATAAATATAAATAATTATTTTCAAAAGAGATGATTAAAATTTGTTTTACATAGACCTTCCAGGGTGAAGTCAAACATAATGAAATGTCTTTCCATAACATATTTTTCCATTTGTTTAGCATTTTCTCTGATCCAAATATACCCTTAGGGTTGTATAAAACCTGGAAAATGCTAGGGAAAGAAAATAGAAAAGAAACAAAATGTTGGGGAAATAAATGATAGATAAAGTGCTAAACTAAATAACACAATTTTGGATATTTCATGATACCCATCTTATTTACTCATACTGCTTATGTAGAGTAAGAAATTTATATACAAGAACAAATATAGTAATCATATTTAATTTTCTGTTGCATTTCCCAATGTAAAACACATATCACAAAAATATTTCCTAGAATTGTATTCCGCTTCTGCAGCACTTACCAGGATCCAAACACACCCTTAAGAGAATTTCAAGCTAAGAAGCACAGAAAGTTCCCATGTCCCGCGTTTTAAAAAATCGGAGGTTTGCCAGAAACTTCAAAGTCTTGTTTCCCAGCTGTTTCGGTAACTAGGAACAATTACGAAACTCTCCTTACTAATCAATTAGTGTTTCAAAAAAAATGGTTATAATATTTATCTATTTTTAATTTTTTATAAGCTTTTTAATGAAAATTTGTGTCTGTTTATGGGTGGTTTTTTACGGGAAATGTAATCCGTTTAACACAATGTGGTTTTTATATTCATCTTTGTGATATTTTATAACACAATGTGTTACAAGAAATGTAATCCGTTTTACATTTACATATGTACTAATATGTTATAAATTTTGTATTTTGATCATGTAACGTACCCAACTATTTATCATTAATTGTTTAAATGTTTAGCAATGCTATATGAAAAAATATATATACATACGTTTGAAAAATATATTCACAAATACATGCTTATAATTTAAAAATAAAACGCTAGTGCATCATTTGGTAACATACAAGCAAGACAAAATATGGAAAACTGTTATGCTAGAAAAGGTTTAATTTATTCATATTCTGCCTATTACATAACATCCAATGAAAAAGATGGATATTTCGTACACAACCACATACATGGTCTTATAACAGAAGACATTGTATGAAATAACAGTATAACAGAAGAAAAGTTGACTTCAATTAAGAAAACATATGGCTTTAGTGGATATTATATGTATGTCTTTGAACATAATCTAGACAGAAACACTACAATGACAATTGATACATATATGTTTCTATATTAGACGAAATGTCACTAATTAAATTAAAAGAAATCTTCTAAGAAAGAAATATATCTAGATGAACAAGCCAAATCATAGTCATATATGGATCACAAATCAGAGAGAGAGATACAGTTGGACATATGGATCTTGATGAGCTTGCAATCTTCAAGAGTGAGACCTCTCTCCCTATCAAGCTGATGAACAACATTCAGATCTTCAGGATCCAGAAGCTGCTTGCTGGAATTTGAAAACAGTGGAAAATTTTACAAAGTGAAATTATTAAGAAAAATATAATAGAAATGAAATGTTACATATGAAAAGAGATAAGAACAAATCGCACTAGTGAGAAGAGGTCCAGAAATTGGCGGCCATGATTGGGTTGATGATGTTTCAGAAGAAGAAACCAATCAGTGAGCACTTGCGGTAAAGGCAATTGGCCAATCTCACTCAATTGGAGAGCATGAAAAGGAGAAGATCACTTAAGAAGAGCAGGGTATCCAGGGGCGTAGCTAGTACGGAAGTTCAGGGGAGCCGGTTATTAACTAAAAACAATGCGTAAACAACGTAACCAGTAAACAGTTCAAACATAATGAAAAATCCATTAGAATTCATAAAAATATTTTTAAGCAGTACACACAAGAAGCCATGAGATGAGGTGATGAAGATGATGAACCAAGATGCATAAGAAAAACACATTCTTTACCCTCATGAACTCATTTCCCATTATCAAATCCAAAACTAAAACACAAGAAGAATGCACATCACTAAAAATAAAACACGACAAACAATGTGCCTTGTGTGTTGTTGGAGAGTATTCCAACCAATTGAATTGATGAATCAAGTGGATGGAAGACGACGTATCTTATCTTTATATTCTCAACATTTGTAAGAGATGAGTTTCTGTTGATAAGGTCCAAGCATCAAATAAGATCGTCTTAATTCATCTCTTTTCTCTTACAGCCAATGACTTAATTTTTTCCATTTGCCCGATCACGCTTAATTTACATTGCATCAGGAACAAATTCCTCTTAACGGAAGAAATATTTGGAGTCAAGTAATTTAGCTCTCGTCTGTCGTATGTACTTGTAGTTGGCTTAAAAAAAGAATGCAATGTTGTTTTTGCCATACCTTTGACAAAATTAGTGAAATACTACGTAATCAACATATTACTTTCAATCACATAATTCATACGGAGTATTAATAATATGTTAAGAAATTTACAATCCCTAATTTTCAACTTCTTAGATGAAATCACACAATTAATTCACTTATTTAAAAAATGAAAAGTCATACAACAAATTCACGTTTTATAAAATCATATTAATAAAACAAAACATTCAAATATTAAATGAAAGTGATGAATATATTAGAAACTAAAAATACTATTTTACGTGAATTAAAATAAAAAAGTTACAGAAGTTACATATGGGTTACGGCTAGCAGACGTGAGAAGTGGGAGTCTGAGAAGAGAGACCACCTACTTTCAGTGGAACACCCGAGCAGGCAAGTGGCCGGAGTGGGCGTCTGGACGAAGGAGCGAGTATGAGGGCAGACGCTGCCGGCGGGCAGCACGGCACGACACTTTCAGCCAGGAAGACGCAGGCGGAGGCTGAAAGGTGGAAAGCGGGCGACTGGGTGGCGGAGCGACGTGGTTAGCGGTCTGCCGGGTCTTTTTTCCTTCTACTCTCTGCGTCTCTGCCGATCTGCTGCCTTGCGAAGTTCAGGAGGAAGAAGCGAAGAAGGAAGGTGTTGGGTTGGAAAATTTGGGTTGGGCCTGATATTTTTTGAGTGGCCAACCGTACACTGGTCCAATTTATACTGGGCTACAATGGCTTCCCCCTCCCTATACCCTTGTTAGAGTACAAAGGGAACTTATATGAATCCAATTTACCGTTAGCCAAAAGCCTTACGATTATCAACTTTCAGAGTTTTTGAGTAGTTGAGGATGCTATTGAGGACGATGAACCACCATTATTTCCGACCTTTGTGGTAATCCGTCCACTTTTAGAAGTCGTCGGTGACGTTTCTGGCCTCGCATCCCATAGAGAAAGCGTCAGATCGGACTACCTCTTTCCGATTCTCAATAACCTTTTGTCACCTTCATGATCAACGTCGGCTGAGGCGATTGGTCACCTATCACCCCTCTCTCCAGCAACAGGCAACAAAGCGGATGCATCTCCCTCACCCGCAAGATTAAGCACGTAGATCTGATGTTGGTGAAATCCAGTCTTCAAATATCCTAGGCAATGAAGCGATTTACCTGTATCGATACATGAAATCTAAAAATTGTCAAAGTACTTTGGGTTTTCCTTCGTTAGTAAGTTCTACCATGGCCATCCTTTGATAATTTACGCATAGCTTCTTTGAATTCAAATCAAGATGTGTATGGAGTAATAAGTTTAGGGTGTTTGGATTTGAAGCAATTGGGTGAAAGTAAAGAAGTAATTCTTGTGCTCTAGTTTACTCTTAGAATCAGTTTTTTTTAAAAGTCGGGGTGATCAGCTTCTGAAAATTGATTCTGATTCTGCTTCTGCTTTAAAAAAGAAACAGAAGCAGAATCAGTTCCAAACACTGTCTAAATTTCAAGCAAATATTGAAAAAAAAGGATACACCCCATCCCTGAGGGACCCCCAACCCCGACTGGACAGTACGTTGGGAGGATGTAAGTTGGACTATAATCCCAATTTGACAGATAGAGAGTGGTCTGTCCCCAGTACTTGCAGAGGCCCTATGCATTTTTTAGGATAGTAACCCCTCCTCGTAGTTGACGGGATTCGAACTCGGGACCTAACCCTTGTGGCACTCCTTTCCTACCAGTTGAGCTACGTCCACCGGTTTCAAGCAAATATTGATTCATTTTGATATGGTGAAAGAATATACTAGATTTTTTTAAAACTTAGCTGAGTATGAACCGGAGGATTTCATATGCTTACTGAAAAGTATACTTTTGATTTTGAGAGCATGACCCATCATACGTCATTTTTTATTTCATTGTAATTACTATTAATCTTCTTTGATGAGGCAATTTTACTCCATAGCTTTAGTAATTGGTAAACTTTTAAAAACAAATGAACACGCTTCAGCCAAATTCAGATCAAATACAGTTAGATCTACTCTGAAATACAGTCATATACAAATGAATATACAAAAATAGAAGATGTTAATTTTCTAGTAGATAGAAAAGTTGTACAAGGTAGGTATGGGATAGCAAAATACTCATTCTAGTAGCACCTAGATCATAAAGAAAAATTGTGTTTGTTCATAATAATGCAACAGTTTATGTATATAAAGTGTTTCTCTTGAATTAATCATTGTAGTTGTTTACATGCATCCTAAGTTCTAAACTTATTGTTTCTAGGGTTGCTCCCTGAGCTCTTTATGCACTCAACCTCTAACATTAATTTTATCCTAGAAGGTTTTATCATCACAGGTCAGTCCTAAAAGGGTTTTTTCCTCTAATTTTGTGTGTTAACTGTCATTCCTTTAAAGGCCAAGTTATTAGAAAAACTCTTCTTACTTGTGACCAAGTCTCCTCTTTTGATATTTCTCCATAAACACACACTTCTTTTCAGTAAGATCCATGCATGTACTAATTGCTTGTGGAGGTGAAGATGGTGTTGTAACTCTTTTATATTTGTAATGGTTTTGCACCTCAATGGCTGCAGCCATTTTGCCCAAAATTAATTGTAGAGTGTAACTTCTCTTTTTGCCTCAAATTGAAGTGAATAGTATTTCAATAGTTGATCCTTCAATTGAATAGTAAAACCTAGTTCATTTGATTTTGGTTTACTAGTAAGCGGTCACCATCTAACTATATGCATTACTTTTTCATTTAATAATGATTTTTTATCGAAGACTATTATAGAATATGCATGTACGTTTTGTTTGGATTATGCTCTTAAATTTTTTATCAAGTATATTTACTTTTTAGTAAAATCTTGTAATAAACTTTGAAGAATGATTTATGAATTTACGAGGTTGTAAATTTTTGTTAGTTCTTTTTCGTTAATAGTAAATTGCATGTGGGGCCCACGCCAGGAACGGGGACCACTCGATATTGTGGCACCACATATTATATTCATCTTGATCTAGATAATATGTATATGGTGGTGGATATCCTGGTTGGGCCATAGAAAAGGCATAGGGTTGACCGGTTGGTCAAACGAGTCTCAATTACCGGTATTGGTAATTTATCGGAAAACAGCCCGAACTGAATTTCGGGGACTTCTAAATTAAAGTTGGGGAATTAATATTCATTCTAAAGGCTCATAGTGATTGGGAACATGTGATATATTTTATTTGGCTCGATAAAATAACATATAATTAAAACAGTCTGAGAAATACAACTTTCGGAGCCGAATGTACTGTTCGGGACATATTGGGATGACCTCCCACATGAGTGGGGGCCACACCCACGTTTTTAGGCCTATCAAGTTGACTATTTTCATCCCCAAAAACATGGGGGAGTGGTGAGAGGGGTCTGAAGAGATAGTTTGAGTAGGAGGAGACATAAGGTGGACCTCCCATCCACACTCATTTGATCAATAAGACAAAAGGATCATTCCTACTCCTCTCTTTCTCTCATTTTCGACCAACCACTCTCAAAGCAAGGGAAAGGAGCTCTGAAACTATTATCCTCCATAGCTAAGGCATGCTCGAACAAACAAGAAGCTCAAGGAAGAAGAAAGAGTTCCAAAAGTAGAGAAAAATCTTGAGAATAAAGGTGAGAAGCTCTTTAGTAACTTTTCTTCCATAATTTGATTTTCATATGACTTATCCATCATATGAAGGACCCCTAGGATAATTCTACACTTTTAGAAGTGTAGAAAGAGGGGTTAAAATGTAGTTCTAAGTCCAAGAAAGGACTTAGAAGCCAAAGTGACTGATTTGCCGAAAAATAACCTTTTAGAGGTTATTTGTGTTGATATGAGTTGTGTGATGTTAAATTCTTGTTAGGAACTTGTCTAAGGTGTTCCTAGTATTTTCACGGACTTGAATGAGTCGACAGAGTTCATCAAAGTTCGTCGGCGTTTCGTCGGAGTTCAACCGAGAAGGGTAGAACTTCATAAAGCTCATTCGAGGTAAGTGGACGGCTTAATGTCTTGTAACTCTTAGATTAAGCATGAGATTACCTAAGTAAATGTTATATGTGTCCATAATGTGTTTAAAAGAGTTTAAACATGTGATTAGCCAAGGTGATTAAGCTTATATGAAATGAACTATTGAGCTATGCATGAAATATGATATGAAAATGCTTATAAAAACATATGTGATGTTTTAAAGGAATAAAGGGGTATAAAATGGTTGTTTATAACTTAATACACGTTGTGATTAAGTTTGACGTGAATCGGATTTGAAATGACGGGTCAACGAAGAGTTAATCGATTGCCCTGGGGTAATTGGCACCGGTTATGAGTAGAACCGGTACCGGTTTGGGTACGGGGTGCCCGGTTCAATAATTTTTATTATGAGCCAGCACCAGTCAGGTCTGGACCGGTGCCGGTTTGGTGCTGTTTTGCCCGTATGTTGTTTTTTAATGCATGGAATGCTACGTTTATGCTGTAAGACTTGGTTTAGTCTTGATAAATGATTGTTACATAGACCCTATCTATGCATGATATGTGGTAGATCATAGGAATGAATAAATATTGGTGGAGGACCCAGGGACCAGACTGTCTTCAAAACTCGGATGTATAATTGGTGGAGAACTCAGGGACTAGACTGTCCTCAAAACTCATAAATTACTGGTTAGTAATTCAGGATGTGTTGGTGTCCTTTTGACTATTGTTTTGGACCACGAGGAGTCCTTTACACTCATAGGTCTATGAGTGGATTGAGGTCTTAAGTCAAGGACATTGACTACTACAATTTTGAATTTTCCCAAATAAACAATGACCTACGTGTTAGGTATTTCCAAGTGTATATATATACTGATATGTATTTTATTACTTGGGGGAAGGTATATAAGTATATGTATCACCTTATGTTTGGGCCTTATACGTGAAACATTAGTTATTCTACATTTAGTCTGCTACTCGCTTGATATTCGCGTACTGACCCTTTCGATGGGCACCATTTCAGGTTGAAGCTAGAGCTTATTGCCTGCACCTTTGCACGGGTGAAGAGAATCTCAAGGAAGATGTGGTTCGTGCTTCCTTTACTGTTTCAAACCATAAACTATGCTCATGTGGCCCATGATTGACTATTGAATATTTCCGTTATTCATTCAATCTATAATGTGAGGTGGTTATGTATGTTTACTTACTGAGTATGGTATGAACGATGTTCATGGACGCCTTGTATAATTAAGTGAGGTTGACTTGTGAGTGACGTCACTTGATCATACAGTGGTTGTACACGCGCTTAGATGCAGTCTGGGACGTGACATTCTCCCCATTTATATCACGATTTTGTGATGATGTACTGTATGCTTTGTCATCTCTTTTAGTAATACAATTAGGTCAATAATCGTCTTAGTTGTAATATCTTCAAGAATGTAGGATTTCTTTGGCAGATGTTGCAGAAAATATAAGGCAATTAGGTAAATGGTCACTTTTCACTACTCGAAGCTATAAAGATGCAATTCCATCCAAAGACACTAAATACTCCATACTAGATTTTGAAAAACTCACAAAAAAAGAAATTATATGAAGAATACATCTCATCTATCTCTCACAAACACCCCAAAAAAGAAGACGAAGAGCTAAATCTATATTCCCTCGTTCCCACCTGAAGTGGTCACTTTTGTCAAGACTCATCAACTGGCAGTGTACTTCTTCGACTAAACCCTCACAAGGTGAACATTAAGTCAAACACCTGAAGTGGTCACTTTTGTCAAGAC